GGTCTGGCTGGCATGTGGTGCTGGGGATCGAACCGCGGTCCCTGTGCTTTGCCAAGCTTGTTTCAAGAAGGTGCTTTAGACCACTGAGCCATCTCTCCAGCCCTATTATTATTATTTTTTAAAGACAGGATCTTGCTATGCTGGTTTTGAAGCCCAGGCTGATCTCAGACTTGTAGCAATTCTCCTGCCTCAGCCTCCTGGAAGCTGGGACCACACATGCGTGCCACCATGCCCAGCTTGTAAATTGCATATTTAGTTATACGTAGGTATTTTGCCATATTAGCAATTTTTACTTGTCAAAAAAAAAAAAAAGAAAGAAAAAAGAAAAATTATGACTTACTTCTTTGTGGTATCAGAAATTGAACTCAGGGAGTGATAAGTTACATTCTTACATATCCAACCCTTTTAATTTTTTTTTTTTTTTTATTTTAAGAGACTCAGACGTGTGGCAATCCTCCTGCCTCAGCCTCCTGAATGGCAGGATTAGCCTGTCGCACCAAAGCCAGACTCACGTTTCTGTGCGCTCACTACCATACCCCTATGGAGGGGCTATCGTATTCATTTTACAGATAGGGAAGCTGAGATACTTCAAGATTGGGCCATTTGCCCAAGGCCATACTGTGAAAGGGCAGCAGAGCTGGGTAAGAAGCCAAGCCCCTGGCTCGTTACACAATTCTTTCTCCAAGCCTTTCAAACTGTGTTTGGGCCTCTTGTGAAACAGATTAGGACCCTGACTTTCTTTCTTTTTTGTATTGGTGGGTACCCCACTGTGGAGCTGCATACCTGGCCTGAGCCTGCCCTGGTAATCCAGGCTGCCTGGGCTCAGTTTGCCTGTTGGCCTTGACCTGGGGCCATGGTCTGAGCTTGAGCTCTGCTTTCACCGTTGTTGCTCTGGTCTATTACAGTCTTACTTTTTTTTTTTTTTTTTTTTCCGGTACCAGGAATTGAACTCAGGACCCTGAGCTATCTCCCCCACCTCTACAGTCTTACTTTTCTAGTTGCCTTTCTCAGTTCAGCCTCCTGGACTGATGACAGGCTGTGTATCAAAAATGACTCCAGGTTTTCTGTGATGTGCTAATGTGTGGACAGGGAGCTGCCGGGAAAGACTGCAGCGGGGTAAGACTGCAAACAGTGTTAAACGTCGGGAGGACTTGAGAGGTAGCCAGGACGCTCAGAGCTCGCCTAGGGATGACATCGCAGCTTCCCTTTAGAAGCTGCGGTCCGGGGCCAGGAAGGAACGGGAGTCAGTGGCCGTGCCATGCGGAGCTGCCCCTCGCAGGCCTGCCTTCCTCTAGCCTCTAGCTTCTGTCGCTCGCCCCTGGTGTCCTTCCCTGTGGGGCACCAGGGGGCAGCACGCAGCAGCGGAAAGGCCAGCACCTCGGATCGCAGGACCTGGCTGGAGTCCGTGGGCAGCTTCATTGTGCACATAATTCTTGAACCTCAGCATTTATCATCAAAGATAGATTGGATGCTTTTTGTTTGTTTTGTCTTTTTGAGACAGGGTTTCAGACTGGCCTTAAATTCACTTTGTAGCCCAGGCTGGACTCGCATTTGCCACGATTCTGCCTCAGCCTCCCGGTGCTGGGATCACAGGTGCGTGCCACCACACCTAGCTAGAGGGTGACTCTGAACCCAAGAGCCTGAAACTCTTCTACCACTCCCTGGCTTGTGAGTTTGGCTAAGTCATTGAACTTTGCTGTGCTTCAGAGATCTAGAAAGTAGGGGAGCTCGGTGGGCTCTCCTCGCTTGCAGTTTTGCTTACCTGTCAGTCACAGCCAGAAAACATTAAACAGAACATTTCAGAAATAAATATTACAAGGGCTGGCCAAATAGCTCAGCGGATTAAAGCTCCTGCAGGCAGGCGCAGGGGCTGGGGGTTTGATCCCCTGGCCTACCGTGCCGGCCCCGCCCCCGGCTCGCTGAGATGGCAACAGAGACTGGGTGTGGTTGCCCACGCTTGTAATCCCAGCTCTGGGAGGCTCTAAACAGGAGGATCACTATGAGTCCCATCTAGTAGTGAGACCCTGAACACCCTGTGGTCCCTTCCCTAAAATTTAAAATAAATAAATAAATAAATAAAACTACGTAAGTTTTATTTTTTAAAAGTGTCAGTTATTTAATTAGGTTCTTAGAAATTTAGAACACTAGGGGCTGGTGAGATGGCTCAGAGGTCTAAAGCACCTACTTAGAACAAGCTAAGCTAAGCGGGGCACAGGGACCTCGGTTCAATCCCCCTGGTGGGCTGAGCTGGCCACACACAAAATAAATAAATTTAAAAAAAAAAAAAAAAGAAATTTAGAACACTAATTTATGAGGGTAAATCCCATTTGTCGGGGCAAAAACGGATCATAGGTAGCCCTGGAGCTGAGGAACAACTTTGATTTTTGCTAACGTCTGTGAGTCTACTGTTTTCTGATCCACCTTGCACTGCTCTGAAATCTGGTGTCCCTCTTTCTCCGTGTCGAAGATCTCACCCTCCTGGTGTCTGGGCTTCCGCAGCTTCTTTTTCTTGAAGTAAACATCAGTGAGGTGTTTGGAGATTTTTCACTTTGCTGGTATCAGTTTTTGAAGAGGTGACAATGACAAATTTCTGGTGTGTTCTTCGTAGGGACCAGGGATCAAACCCTGATCCCTGTGCTTGCCAAAGCACGCGCTTAGTCTTCTGAGCTATCTTGCTGGCCTGCTTTTTGGACTTTTTTGTCTTCACCTTACCTTTTGTACCAGTGCCACTGGCAGCAGTCCTGGCTTCGGATTTCTTCTCTTTAATGTCTGGCTTCTCAGACATCTTGCAAGATGGGAAAGAGCTACATAAGTTTTAAATTGGGTGCTATTCTGAGTAGCAGGGTATCAAGGTGAGACACAGTCATTCCTTTGTCCTGTATATCTCTGCTGGGTCCATTGCCTGCCTATTAGCCACTTGATAGCCATCTTGGTTGTCCATTGTCCTAGTATCAAAGGACCTGTCATCAAATAACCCTTATTTTACTTAATAGTATCCCCAAAGAGCACAGGTAGTCGTGTTAACAATTTGGACATGCCAAAGATGAGCCATAAACACTTATTATTATTTTGTGACAGGGTCTCACCATGTAATTCAAGCTGGTCTTGAACTTGCGGTGATCCCTGTGCTTCGGCCTCCTGAGTGCTGGGATTACAGGTTTGTGCCACCTGGTTCTTTTTTTTTTTAATTATTTATTTATTTATTTTTATTTATTACATTTATTTATTGTGTGTGTGTGTGGCCAGCTCAGCCCACCAGGGGGCGGGGCTGACTGGCATGTGGTGCTGGGGGATCGAACCGCGGTCCCTGTGCTTTGCTAAGCTTGTTTCAAGTAGGTGCTTTAGACCACTGAGCCATCTCTCCAGCCCCAGCCACCTGGTTCTTAAGTGCTTCCGTTAAGTGAAAATGTGAAAATTCATGACTGAAGAAGAAAACAAGGGCTGGCCAGATAGCTCAGCAGACTAAAGTTCCTGCTTAGGCAGAGAGCAGAGACCAGGGTTTGATCCCTGGCATGCTGTGCTGGCCCTGCCCCTGGGGCATGCTGAGATGGCGATTGAGATTGGGCATGGTGGCGAGTGCCTGTAATCCAGGGCTTGGGAGGCTGAAAACAGGAGGATCACTACTGAGTCCATCTACACAATGAGACCCTATACTAAATAAACTGAAAAGAAGAAGAAAGAGAAGGAGAAGGAGAAGGAGAAGGAGAAGGAGAAGGAGAAGGAGAAGGAGAAGAAAACAAGTCACACACTGAAGTTGCTAAGATCTACAGTGTAATATGATTTTTTAAAAAGTACTAGGCATTGAACCCAGGGCCTTGTGCATGCTA